TCTATTTTGGAGCTGCTCAGCCCCTGAAGCAATGTCGGGGGTCACAGGGGAGTGGTAGTGGTGCCTGGGGAGAGGAAAGAGCTGTTCCCCATCTCCCAGCTGCTGTGCCTGTCTCCACTGCCTGAGCCAGTGGGCTGGGCACACAGGTATAAGTTTTTGTCCCAGAGCAGCTGGATATGGATCTCTGCTTTCCACAAGTGGCCGGAATCCCAGTCTCCCCCAGGAACTGGGCCTGTATTAACTTTCCAAGCTGGTAGTCATGTGAGTCTCATGAAAGCACCATGAAATGCAGGTTTGTGCTCCCAGAGCAGATTTCTGGAGCTAGGTATTCAGCAATCCCAAGCCTCCCACTCCCTCCCTGCTCCATTTCTCTTCCTCCCACTGGTAAGCTGGGGTGGGGGAAGGGCTCGGGTCCTGCGGGGCCACAGCTCTGTGAGGTCTGCTCTTTTCTTCAGGTGTATGCAGTCTGATGCCGTCCTCTGTCCTGTTGCTCTCTCAGGATTAGTTGCACCAACTATATTTTCTAATTGTATCCAGTTTTAGGAGGAAGCCTCTGTCTCTCCTCTCACGCTGCCATCTTTAATCCCTCAGAAACTTTTGAGGCTGAATTTTCCTTAAAATTATCTGACTCTGAAGAGGAACTATCATTGGAAGTTTGAAGCTAACTTCCCTTGCTTGCTTTTAAATTACAAGAGATAATCTCCCATATTTTTTTCCAATTAAGAAAGGAAAATCTAAATCTTTTTTGGAAAACAGATAAGTTAAAATTATAAAACCTGAACTGCAGCTTTTACCAGTGGCCAGTTGCCACTGTTTTTTTGTTAAGAATCTGCTGAACAATGAGGGTGGGCAAAGCCTACAAAATTTTGGGTGTGTGATCACTAAACAGGTTTTGCACAGGACCAGCAAAAATTAGTTCATGAGCTGTGAACTGAAAACCAGCTTGCCCCAGTGCAAGGCTAGTGTCTACTGCTGGCAGCAGTTGATTTCCCATCTTTCTAGTTAGTGGAGGAGATGGTTGGCTCCTTTTGGAAGTATTGAGGTGGTTCTTGGTGCAGTGCAGCCAATGCGTCTCTGGTTTCAGTGGGTCTAAACACCATGCAGAAATGATCTCATGACACAGGGAGATTGGAGCATGAGGTTTAGAGCAGCCCTGGTTTCAAACTGTGCCTGTGCTAAATACAAGTTATCAAGAAGTTCAGGCAATTGGCTTACCCTCTTTGAGCTTCAGTGTCCTTTTTTTTAAATTGAGATATATCAGTTTCCTCTTCAGTTAAATGGTTATAAAACATTTTTATAAAGATCACATTATATAATTAAGGTAAATGAATTTAAATGAAACAATGATTTAGGAAAGATGGGCATTAACAAATTATTAGTAAGACTTCACTTTTTTAGAGCAGTTTAGCTTCACAGAAAAGTTGAGGGAAAGGTAGAGATTTCCCATGATCCCCTGCCCCACACATGCACAGCCCCTCCCTGTTATCAACACCCCTCACCAGGGTAGTACATTCATTACAATCCATGAGCCTAAAGTGACACAGCATCACCCAGAGACCATAGTTTACATTAGGATTCCTTCCCAGTGTTGTACATTCAGTGGGTTTGGATAACTGTTTAATGACATGTATCCTTCATGTATGGTAGAATAGAGAGTGTTTTTCTAAAAACCCTCTCTTCTGGCATTTTTTCAGTAAACAAGTCTTTGCTATACTTCTGTTTGCCACTTTACCTCAGATTTCATGTCAGATAAAAGTTAACTGAGGCATAGTCCAACTACCTCATTTGGTTAAATATGTGAATGACATTGAAACCACACACAGCAGTTAGGGGGTTCTAACTATTTCTGCCAAGTCTTCCTGGTTCTGGACTAATCTTGAAAGCCTTACTTTAGCATAAATAATACAACTTATCCTTCCCTCAAATAGGCTTTATTACCTTCATGCCTTTCCAGTCTCCAACCTCAACCCACTTAATCACAAGTCACTGCCAACACTTGCCTCATTATCTCAGAATATCTTCTAGGGGTTTTGCATGTGTATGTGCGTGTACATGTGTTTGTGTGTGTTTGCCTCTTCCTCTCACTGCCCCACAATTTGATGTGTAGACCCTAAGCCTCCCCACAGAAACCACAAAGGATCATTTGGCTTCCCTTTGGAAATACAGAAAGTTAGTATTTTTTGGGTAAATCTCATATAGACCCCTTTCCAAATGCCAGTTTCTTTCCTAATGGTTTTATTTTTCCCTGACTGTTTGTATATATTTCAGGTTTCTCTAAGAAGCCATAGCCCACAGAGGACTGAGTTGGCTTCCAGAGTCCAGTAGACATACCTGGCTGCTTTCTGAGTGAGCTCCAGTGGGAAATCTGGGCACAGCAATTGCAGCAAACAGTGATATTCTCTCATGGTCAGCAAATCTGAAGTGGAAATGGAGAGGAACATATCAGGTCTCTGCATATGAAGTCATTGCTCTCTTTTTGGTCATTTCATGGATTTCAAACCTAGTCTTGATAGAGCTGCTCTTTTAAAGGTGAGTCAGTGTTAAGGGTTTGCTAGCCACTCACTCCAGGGGTGAGATTTTAAGATCAATATTTCTACAAAGTTTTTCCTGTGTGGGAGATATCCAGCCACAACATTTTGGCTCAACACACTTCATTTGTTTAAAAAATGGTCAGATGAGACGGAGCAAGAGGGGTACTGTTTTCAACCTTCTTTGGTTTTCCTTGTGTTTAAAATTCCTCAAGAATGAGTTATTTCAAAGCTGGTTAAATCTGCTGAAATTCTCTGGCATGGGAACGTGTCCAAAGACCATCTATAGACTCTCTGGAAGCAGTACTAAGGCAAATACAGTCTTGCAATATATGAAGGAGAAGAATACAGCAAAGCAGCACACAGACCTTAACACTGTCAGCCAGTATTGTGCAGCCTGGTTTCTTTTGGACCAAGCCTGTACACAAATCTGGTTTTCCTATTATATGAAGTCAAGACAAAGGTCCAAGATATACAGTCAAGGCAATCAAATGGCTCTTGATGTGCAGAAGCAGTACTTTGGGAGAGAGGAGCCAGGATAAGGCTCTGTGGCCCAGCAGAAAACCCAGAGGGGCAACTCTGAGGGAGCTTCACAGGGTCCCAGGGGGGAGGCAGTGCACTGGTGCTTTCAAGTTGTCTTGTTACTTTGTGTGCCAAAGCCAAAAGATTGTAGATCAGTCAGGCAGCAGCAATCTGCAATTATTCCATATATCAAAGCATTTTAGATATGAAAGGACATGCTAATGGTAAACCAAGAGTGAGCAACCTGGAAGCCATCCTCACTGGGAGAATGAGTGAGGAAGGGAATCCAGAAGGCATAGCCACATTTGGGGAATGAAGATGATGATCACAGGCACTTGGTTTCTTTGGACCTAAGTTAGCTCAAACCACAGGAATCCAGATCTCCAGCCCTTGCTAGTTTGGTTGATGCTTTTCCAAGACATAAACCCCGAATCCCCAGGGACAGGCCTGGGTTCCTACTACTTTTTCATCAAAGCTCAATTCAAGGTCAGGGCAGAGAGTTTGACTAACCACACTACTAAAGTCAGGGACACCAAAGCAACAGACTCAAAGTCAATGTAGGTCAAAGGATCAAGATGGTTTTTGTGGCCTTCATCCTGGCCACAGCGGGGTGTGCACTTTCCTCTCCTCACTAGCCTGACCTTCAGCACAGCGTGGTAGAAGGTTTTGCTCTTCAAGGAAAGGAGTAATAGCCATTCATGGTCTCTCTCACAGATTTGGGTTGAGGGACAGTAAAGACAAAGGGAAGGGAGAAAAGTCACTGAGTCTCATGCCAGAGCTTCCAGTATAAAGAGGAGTGCTTTCTGGCAGGAATAAAGTATTAAAGTATTAAAATAATACTACCATTTATTGAGCACTTTGCTAAATTTTCAGAAAATTACGTTACATGTAAATTACCTTATTTGATTTTTACAACAATTCCATTAGGTAGGTACCATAGTGTGGATAAAGTGAAGGTTGCTATGGCCAGGATTCTCACCTGGCCCTGGTTGGCTAGATCACTATACACGTGTGCGCAATACGTTGTTATTGACTCTATATAAAGAGCTCCGCCCAGTGCTCTGGGCAACACGGTGGCACGACTGCAAGGCTGCAGGAGAGCAGAGACAAGACTGGAGTGGTGGCAGTGCCGAGGACAGAGACTGAGATGGCTATTGGGGGTAGAGAGCCCCAGAGGCAGAGACTGGCTTGCTGCATGCAGACTCACTCTGAGTGTATGTGATTCTAGTGATTGACCTGCCACTGTGGGAATGAAGTTGGGTATAAACGCATTTACCCCAAGAATATTCCATTGTCATTTCTTTGGTCTCATTGAATCCATAGTGAACTTGTTCGGGGCTGAAACCCATCAGCAAGACAGTGTTTAAGCATTTAAACTCAGCAAGAAACACCTTCCCCCTCTCCTCTCCTGTCTTTACCTCCAGGATTTAAAAAGAGAACTAAAATAGCTCCCATTGTTCGGTGTTATTATATTCTAGACATTCTGCTGAGTCCTTTATAGACATCATCTCATTTAATCTTGGCTTCAATCCTGAAAGGTAGGTATCATCATTCCCATTTTACAGATAAGCTGAGATTTAGAGAGACTGAGCAATTTGCCTAAGGTTGCATACCTGGTAAATTGCAGAGCCAGTTGCAGTGTTAATGATTAAAAGTTGAAGTCCTGAAATAAAGGAATCTTTGGACTTTACTAACAGCCCTCAGCACAATGCCTGGCATATAGTTGTAAATACCTGTTGAAGGAATGAATGAATAAAAACATGCATTTCATAGAGACCCAAATGAAAATCTGGAGAGACAAATTTCTGGTCACTGTGTGGACACAGAGATGGGGAATCTCCAGGCAGAGGAGACCTGTCTATAGACTGGAGGGTTGGGTGTGAGGAGATGCTAGGAATTGTGAAGTGCTGAAAATGGAAAATGTCCTGTTTGGTAGATACTACAACTCTCAATGAACACAGGTGTACTAAATTTCATGGGCTTGTTGACTCCTAGCACCTTCTTATCAAGTGCTCAATCTAATCAGCTTGAGTTTATTTCCATAGGAATATATCACTAACTTCTACCAGGAAAATCAGAGGAAGCCTAGGGTTTACTTTACAGTGATTCACTTTGGCTCTGTTACAACTCTATGAGTGAGTACTGTAGTTTTCAAGATAACCAGTCCCCAATTCAAAATATTCTTCTGTTGGTTATCTCTACTCTAATCCTAAAGAGTGATAGATGAGGTTATTTTGGCTAAGAAAATTAACCTAGTCAGAAATTCCTGATGCACATTATATTCAAGGGCTAATTTGTTCTCTTTCTCCTTTCTTAGAAAAGAAGGATGAAGATCTTCTCATATCTTTTGTACATCTGGTCTGCCTTCTTGCTGTGGAAATTCCTGTCTCTGAAGCTCTGTGGGGCACCTTAGTCATCTCTACATTCTCCTCAGGGACGACCATATGTGCCCACACATTTGCTCAGAAGAACTGAAGTGGTGTGTAGATGTAGACTCAGATGCCTCTGCTCTTCCTGAGAAATGGTGCCTTTTCTAGGGTCAGAGTGGTATCATTAAAGACTAATGCAGAGGAACTAGGGTCATAGCTTTTGTCCCTTACTCAGAGAAAGCCCTTCCCAAAGCCTGAATCAAGGATTTTTAGTTTCAAAAGTATGGGGGAATACAATGGGGCTTAGTCTAAATTCATTTGTGTGAGTGCCTACATGTTGATGGCTGGGCGAGTTAGTGCTGGGGCAAGAGCTAGAGATAATGAAATGCTTGGGGATTCCCAGAGGACTTGAACATCCTTGTTGGTTGGCTGCATGATCTCAATAGGAACTACCACAAAGGCCAGAGAACACCACAGCCCATGAGTGGGTTCTCAAATTTTCAGTTGCAATTGTTTTTATGTTCTTTTATACAGGGGTTGTGAAGGCTCATTCTAAATGACACTTGTCCTCAACCAGGCTGCTCTGCCAAGACATGCTCGGAAGGACATGGATCATTTGGGGCATGACCATACCACCTTTCCTATCCTTAGGGCACTTGAGGCTTTGGTACCAGTTCACAGCTGAGTAAATACTTCTCAGTGCTGTTTTGCAAGGAGGGGGAAGGGAGTCAGAAAGAGTGTGGGGAGGTGGAGGGAGAGGAAAGAGGCAAGACATCTGATAGCTTCACTGCCCATGTAGCACTTGGCCACAGGAAGTCACAAGAAGATTGTTAACATCCTAGGGCCATGTTCCTGTCAAGCAATTCCGCAGAAGAAGAGCAGTTTGTGTTCTTAAATTTTATCCTCTTTGATAGCACTGTTGTTTTATATTATAAATGGAGGGAAATGATAATTAGTTTACTGAAAGAGAAATTATTTTACAAAATGAATGAGAAACAATGGCTTCCAATGACACCTATGGGGTAAAGTAATATTATCCTTTGCCAACTCATTATTCCCCAGAGCATGTTTAATGTGTTCAAATAGGGGCAGAAAGCCAGACTCTTTAGTTTTATACTTTATTATGTCTATGACCAAAATCAAGTAACTGTTTCTATTTGACCAGTGTATATGTTCTAGTCAAAGTATTAATCAGATATAGTAACAATTTCTTGGCAATTTTTAGCATGAACAAAAGAAACTCCCAAAACTATATATATGATACAAAGATTTAAAGAAATGTGAGCATTTCTAATCAGGGTCTGAAAATTCTTCCTCAGGGATCATGTATGGGATATTATAACAACTGAATCAGGTCTTTAGACTAACCATGGTCATCTCTAGCCAGCAAGATGGGGCTGAACCAGAGGCCTGGTCTGATATGATAAGAACCATCTACACTGCATCAGACCCTTGAGATGTTGCCCTCTTTTCTGTCCATGATGATGGGACTGTTAAGAGTTGGAGGACCAGGACAAGGCTTGGTTCTGGAGGAGGACACTGTCTTTTTTTTTTTGGTATCATTAATATACAATCACACGAGCAACATTGTGGTTACTAGATTCCCATTATCAAGTCTCCACCACGTACCCCATTACAGTCGCTGTCCATCAGTGTAAGATGTTGTAGATCACTACTTGTCTTCTCTGTGCTATACTGCCTTCCCCGTCCCCCCCACTACATTATGTCTGCTAATCGTAATGACCCTTATTCCCCTTTGAGGAGGACACTTCTTAAGACAGCTGTGATGACATGAAATAAACAGGCTGCACATATCCAGAGTGGGCAGCCATATGACATTGTGGAAGGAAGCCCCAGTGCCAGGGGAAAAAGTCTCTTTCCAGTAGCAACAGGGCTAGCCACTCTGGCATGGGCACCGTCTCCTGATAATTTATTGAGAAAATGGGAGGCAACTTTGGACACCAAAATGTGGAGGAGGATCTTGGTACCGTAAGCTCCTGAAGGGCACAGCAGCCCATCAAGGAAGTTACTTTAAGCCTAGCATTTGCACCACCATTCCCATTCTAATTCAGAGACCAACTAGTCCAGCTCTACCAGGTATTGTTATTTCGTATTCTTGTTTGGAAATAGAAGGAGAGGGTGTGCCCTCTGAAGTAGAAACTGCAGAGCCAAGTGTAATTCTCATCTAGGAAGAAGCAGATGCTATCACAAACTCCAGTGACCCACGTCTGTTCTTAAATGAACAGAAGCGGTTAAACAGGCACAAAAGCAAAGGTGGAGACCGAACTTTGGTCTCTCCTCATGGCAACTAAAGGTGAGAGGAAACACCCTGCCCTCTCAATGGGAGTATGTTTGGAAAACCCCACTCAGCCTTTGAAAAAGAAGCATTTTAAATTTTCTTATGGGTTTTTATGGCCAGAATGAGAGTTTTCATGTTGTTTAGGGGGTAAAAAGTCTGTTCTCCCACAGAGATACATCACGACATAGAGAAAGGAACTTGATCTGAATTCTGCAAAGAACTAATTACAACTTTTCTGGGTCTCCATTTTCTTATCTGCAAAATAAAGAAGTTGTGGTTTGTGAGGGTTGAAAACATTTTTAAGTAGACATTTTTTTTCCAATGGAAATCTTATAAGAAACCTCAATGTATAATACAGATTAAAAACAAAGACTTACCCAACTTTCTCTTCAATAGCCCTCATCTAAGCTAAAGGTTCAGGGAATGAGGTGGCTGGGAGAGAAGGCATTGCTTTAAAACTCTAGGGCTGTATAGAGGACAGTTAAAAACCCCTGGTTCTAATACTTAAGTGGGTCTTATATATAGTACATGGTTAAGAGTGAAGGCTCCTGGATCAGCCAACCAGGATACAAATTCTGATTCTTTAGCTAACTAGTCATGTGACCTGGACAAACCAATTAGAAATGAGAGTGAATGCTAATCTAATGCTAATGATAATATGAGTATGAATAATGTGAATACTCATACTAATCATTTGAGAGGATTAAAAGAGAGGATTTTTAAAAAGAGAGAGATAGCAAATTTAAAGTGCTAATATATGGCCCAGGGTAAGCATTCAATAAACAGTACCTGCTCTTGTTACTACTCACCTGTATTTGAGGCACACAGGTGGGATGGGGCCTGCATAACAGAAAGCACAATTCGTGAAGTTCTCCAGCTCAAGCCAGTGGGTGGCTAAAACAATCTTATTCCTCATTTCATGATTATTTTGTCTTGCCTTTGTTCTTACTGATGTTGAATAACAGACTTCCAGCCTCAAAACTGATGCACACCACTTTACTTGATAGTCACTGCACTGCCAATCCTCTTATCACTTCACTATGAAAAGTGCTGATGAGTCATATTTATAGAGAGACTGTATAATTATGCAAGCCATTTTCATATGCACTATCATTTCTGATTCCCATAAGAACCTTGTAGGGAAGGGAGAAAATAATGGTATTAGTCCCATTTTTGTAGACAAAGAAAATGAGCCTCAGCAGGAGACAAAATCATCAAACCAATGGTAGATCCAGGATCAAATAAAGTCTTCTCATTCCAGGGCAAGGCTTCTTTCTATTACACAGGCCTATTCCCTATCATGTCCTTCTCTTTTATAACCCGTGGTCTCTGGGGCCCTGGGATCTTGGCCGGTTTTTATTCCTTCTATGGATGAAAAACACCTAGCCTAGTGAATTCCATAATGAAAATGAAGGAAATTTTAGCTGTAACTGCTATTATTACTATTAGTATTTAAATGTGCCACCAGCTATTCTATCTCTTTCCATCACCCTTCTCCTAGGCTGGCTCCAGGGCCACATGTAGTCTCTAACTGGCTTGTGGCTTCCTTGCTGCCCCCCAAAATAAACCGACAGACCCTTTTTCTTTTATGTGACTTGCTGCTAAGCTCTGTAATAAGGAAGGGATAATAAAAATATATACATTTGAAGCCATTATAAACCTGTATCTGTAATTTAAACAGTTCTAGACACAAATTAGCAAGAGAAAAGTATATTTAATGTATAAAAATAATTGTACATTTTTCCTTTCCAATTTAAAATCAGGCTGATAGTTGGGATGGAATTTTATAAGCTATCAGTAAAACTGTCTGATGAAGACTTGTCTGAGAAAGCAAGCCACAGAAAACAAAAACCAAAAAAAGTTATTATTTCTCTGGCTTTCTACTGTCCAAAGTAGCCATAGAATAAATAAGAAGTGAAATAAATAAATTTGATTTGCTTAAATGCATTTTTCTTCTTTTCTCAATAAATATAAAAAAAGCAGTGGCTAATTCGTGGATGTTTTGTTGCCCTTGTCTAGCTTGGATTAATACTTAGTCTATAGGCACACACCTGATCATCTACATTTGCCCTGTTACAGCACTAAACTATGTTTTCTGCCTTTATCTTGCATCTACTGACCACTTCAGCATTTTATTTAAAAAAATAATAATAATAAGGGAGAAATGTGGGATTCACATATAAATCAAGTATAAAAATCAAACGAATAATCATAATTGATCTGATTGTTTATAGTTCATGATGTGTGATCAAAACCGAAAGTTTCTGTGATGACTGCCCTTGTACTGTTCACCATGCAAGAACTTATTCACTATGTAAGAACTTGTTCACCATGTAAAAACTTGTTTGTTATGCTTCAGAAGATTGGAGACTGACGAGAATTAGGCGTGGGGTTGATTAATGATTGTACATTGAGTCCCCTATACAGAATTTTACTGTTGTTAACGACCATATGATCAATAAATATGAGAGATGCCCTCTCAAAAAAAAAAAAAAGCAGTGGCTAAAGGAGTTACTCTTGAGGATAAGTTGAACCAAGAAAGACTAAAGATAAAAAAACAATCTAAGTTCCCTGATTCTTGATGATTGTGTAGTAGGGAAAGGCTGTTGTCAGCATGTAGGCATGTTTATAAAGACCACAGCCCACTCTCTCGTCAGACTCCACTAATTTCCACCAGTGATGGTGGATTTATGGCTACTCATCAACTAAAAAAATAGACTGAAGAAACAAAAACAGCAAGAACCAGAAAGAGGGTTAGATATAGTTAAATACATCTCTTCAAATGAATCCACCTTTGTCTTTCCTGATGTTTTCTGTCTTTTGTGGGCATATAGTGTACCATGCCTATAATTATATGTGTGTGTGTGGGTAAGAGAAAGAGGCAACTAGAGACAGAAGAGTGTCTGACTTTTTTGGGACTGGATGGGAAAGGAAATAGATGATAGCAGTTACTGTTCCTTAAAGCTATCAGCTTTGTTTTTCAAAGTATGTTTTTCCTAGTAAAAGATTATTTTTCTGTAATGTGAGTGAATCACTCATCTTATTTTAATAAAAATGTGAACCAAATGATACTAGCTTCCCATCCTGGGAAACAATACAATGGTCAGGCTTTCTGAACCCTGATCCTTATCTTTCAGTGGGACTGGCAGGCATACAAAAAGAAAGGAAAAAGACGACAAATACCCCAGTGGCATCAAAGGATGAACCACCTGTTTTTTTATACACAGTATTCTAAAAGACCAAGTCTGGTCTTACTCATTGGGGTTTGGATAAGATACCTGGTTTCCCCATTGACAGGTTGCCTTCAATTGGGTGCCAATTTTTTTTGCCTCAATCTTATATTGGGTTTCAAATGTATAACACAGTGATTCAACAGCTACCATATTATTAAGTCCTCACCCACACTAGTGTGGTTACTATCTGTCAACATAGGAAGATGATTATGGCCCTTTTTACACATTGACTTTTGTCACGTTCATGTATAACTCATTCAAAAAACTAAGAAGACAAAAATATGAGCAGTGGGAACACATCAACCAGTCTTAAAAAAAAAAACAAAACGATTCAGAACTATAAACAAAGTGCAACTTTTTATTTGAATAATCTTTAGGGTCTATTTGGGTCTAACATTCTAGGATTCTTTCATTGGAATTCTTTGTGGTTGAGGCAGTAGCATAAAGAACAGGTAGAACATGATTTGAATCCAGATAGCACACAGCTTTCTAGAAGAGTGTGAATGTTATGAAACCCATGTTACTGATTTCTCATGTGGCACACACAGTAGTTAAGAACATAAGAACTGTAATAAAAAAATAAAAATTTGTAATTTGTAATTGGGTTCAAAATATCTCTGTTATTTCCTACCTATATGACATGAACAAAATTGTCTGAGTACCAGTTTTCTCAGTTTTTTCTCTAAAAATAGGATAATACTTCTTCCTCCTCAGATTCTACATAATGGGGACCCCTGCTATTGCCCTAATTGTATTTCCTTCTATTCATCCCTTGTCAGACCATTCCAGCCATAGTGGCTTTGCTGTTCCTTGAATATGTCAAGCATGCTCTTGTCTCAGGCTTTTTTTGTCCTGCTGTCTCCTCTGCCCCTAGATACTTGCATAGCTCCTACATCCTTCAGGTCTCTGCTCAGATGCCTTGGTAGGCGTAAGGCCTTCCAATGCCATAGCATTTAATACAGCAACTCTCCCTCTACTTCCTGTCTCCTTTTCCTGTTTTATTTTGCTTTATAGTACTTATCACTATATATGATCTACTGTACATTTTTTAATCATATTACTTGTTTCCTTACTAGAATGTAAGCTCCAAAAGGGCTAAAACTTGGACTCTTTTACTCATTGTTTGTTCTCAAAAAGTAATTGTTAGAGGAGTAAGAGTGCAGTGATGATTAAGTGAAATAAGACTCATGAAGTTCTTAGTATTCACTGTCTGAGACAGAATATGGCTCACAGACTGGTTTTGTTTGGTTTGAACTGTACTTTTTAAATTTTGAATTAAAACAAAAAATGCAGACATTTCCCACAATACAATCTAGATTTCAGATCTCTTTTTTAAAAAAAATCAGGGCCATCTATTCTACATGGCAACAATCAGCTGAACTGAGGCAGAGCATGCCCTTGAGTCCTACTGATAACACCTATGCTTCTTACATTCACAGTCTGGTCACTGCAGGCATCTGAATTTTCAACTCCAGATGTAGAATTTCTTTCTGGAAACATTTTTACAATAAAAATTCAATTCATCTGACTAAATGAGTTCAAGATGAAAAGAAAGAAACTGAATGGCCTCATAATATTAAAGGGAAAGAGCAAGATAAAAATTATTGTATAATTTCATATCTCTGCTTTAAAAAGAAAAGGATATAGGAGGGAGGAGCCAAGATGGTGGGGTGAGTAGGGTAACAGAAATCTCCTCCCAAAACCATATATATTTTTGAAAATACAACAAATACAACTAGTCCTAAAAGAGAGACCAGAAGATACAGTACAACAGCGAGGCTACATCTACATCTGCAAGAACTCAGCACCTCACGAAGAGGGTAAAATACAAGCCGCGGCCCGGTGGGACCCGAGTGTGCCTCCCACCCCAGCCCACCAGTGGGAGGAGAGGAGTCAGAGCAGGGAGGGAGTGGGAGCCGAGGACTGCTAAATACCCAGCCCTAGTCATCTGCACTGGGAGCGCAGACACACATTGTGTGGTGTGCTGGATGTTAAGGAAACAGAACACTAAAATCTGCAAGTGCGTCCCTGCAGCTGGCACCCCTGGGACAAAAGAAAAGT